TTTTTTTTTTTTTTTTTTTTTTTTTTTGTGTCTGTGTTTACAGACTTAAAATGTCCATGGTATGGTTGGAGAACAGTGGCCGTTTCTCACCCCTCTCTAAAATTATCCAAAAGACGTTGTGACGTGTAAGGTCAGATGGAGTACGTTTTGGTTAAAGATCGACCTCCGCTTTATCACAAATGAAGAAATATTGTAAATACGCGAACAACCGCTCTGTGAAACTCTATCTTTTTATATGATCTGCGGATAAGATATGGCACACCATCTTGACAGCTTGTCGAATAATCCCCTAATAGATACACTGAATAGACTGCCCGCGGGGATTTAAATGCAAGCTTTGGTCGGACATATTGATCTGTGGATCTATTAGTCCGCGGAAAAACTCTGTCGTGAATGCTCTATGAGGGGTAGGGGTTAAGGGAGGGCGGAAAAACACCAGACATTGTAAAAAAATATTTTTCAGGTAAAGATGCTGAAATCGTTAATGAAATCGATCGCACATGATTATCCATGATATAGGCCTGCTAATATTTCACGCCCTATAGCCGTCGTGTTCAGCTGTGCTACCAGGCCTTGACAGCCGTCCACTATGTCACCCACAAAACCATGAAACTCCAGTACCACGGAACATTATCTATTTCTAACAGACTTTATGTATCTTCCAATTAGTTTATTATTGTTTAAGATTTATTCCTTTGATTTAAAGTCAACGAGACAACATTAAACTGATTCAAGAAGTTACAAGACCAACGAATGAGCACTCAACGCATGTGAAAAAAATCATTTATTTTGAATGAAATCAAGGTATTGTCCCCCGCCTTTACTGTTATTTTATTCTTTAAGCACAAGTGAATTTTATTGCTTTAAAGCTTACAATTTAACAAAAGCTGGCATTGGGTTCAGCAATTTTGCAGAGAAAACTCCCACCGCGTAATTCTGTGAACGGTTCTTGAAATGCTACAATGTGAACATTGGTGATAACGGGGGCGTGTTAAAATATTTAAAAAATAAGATTAAGTTTTTTTTTATTTCTAACGTTCACTGGGTACACTTAAACACATAAAATAAGTCCTAGAGCCCACGCCCAATGAAATTATCGTTCTGTGTAGATCGCTCCAACTCCATGGGGGACTCTCGCTGAATGCATACAATATACAGATTAATACGCCTCCTGGCGTAGAATAGAATACAGAAATGCTTGTGATTATACAAGTACATCTATAATCTTGAGAGCATTGGAAACAAGAGGAGGTCACGTGGTCTGATGGCAAGCACGGACTCTAGAATAATTGCAATAACCGCCGTTTTGGTAGTAAAATACAATTTATTTTATTACTATGAGTTGTTTACAATGTGTTTATTATGAAATAGCGATCACATACGAATACGTTTTATCTCTTTAATCATTAATGGAACTCTATAGATTGGACGATACAAAGAATGGCATTTATTGAATTATGCTCAAAGTACACTGGAGGTCAAATATTGTTTTATTTATCAATGTATGGAGAAAGTGTGCATGTCAGAAGCATTGTCGTCACATTTAATCCCAATAGCTTCCAGGCTTTTTCGATATTTTCATTTCCTCAGCTGTTCTTGATATTAATCGATCTTTAGTTCCAAGGGCAACGCCCCCCCCCCTTCCTGACCCTTGATTGCAATTTGGTATTTATCAGCATTATCTACAATCTTGAAAACTGGGTTTTTGTTTCAGAACTGAAGAACAGAGGGAATGCTTTAAGAGCCATGAAATGTACAATTTTATACAATTATTGTATATCTGAATGTTTGATTATTTTCCATTGTAAACTTGTGTTGGTTTTTGAAAAGCATTTTACAATAAACTCTCTCTCTTGGTCATTCTCTCTCTCTCTCTCTCTCTCTCTCTCTCTCTCTCTCTCTCACACACACACAAACACACACACACACCAGGTTGGTGGTTGGCGGTGGTCGCAATAAATTCAGTCAAATGGTTAATCGATGATGAAGTACTTACAGGGTTGAGTACTGACCTGATTATCGGGACACTTGGCACATACAGCGCATTCAGCACAGCGGACTAACAGTTCCGCGGATCAAATATGGCCGACCCACTTGAATGCTTGTTGCTTAATCCCCACGGATTACGGGGAATCTATTTAGTGTTTAATCTGGAATTAGGCGGCAAGCTTTTCATTGGGTCGCCATATTTGACCCGCGGATCTGTTAGTCCGCTGTTCTGAATGCGCTCTATATAGTTGTTCACATAGGGTGTATTCCAAGAGCTTTAGATCGACCCAGAGATTAAGATTTGAATCGACCTAACTTCCTGGGGATTCCGCTAAATTGCAGTCAGCCGAGCGCGCACCATAGTTAATTACCCCCTTACAGCTTTCAGTAGGCGGGACAGACGCTTAAGCCGGCTAAGCTGACAGTAATCTAGTGAGACTCCCCACAGGGATAGATCGATCTAAAATCTATGGAAATGGGGTCATAGACCAGGCAAAACTCATTGATTAGATAACAAGCGCAAGCGAGCCTTATTTTTAGGTAATCTGGATGATTTTCGCATCTATTTTAAATGACTATCAAATGAATTATTTACATTGCAAAAGTCTATATTACAGGAATAAAGTTTGTCAATAGTCTCTGTTTTACCTGTTATTGTTTTTATTACGCCAATAAGTCGGCGTGGCAAATATCAATAATCTCTTTATTTTTTGGTTCAAGTACATAATGATTTTTTCTACGGCTCAGTTTACCGTAGGGATATTGAACAAATGTTCGATTTATTTTCAAATATCTGAAATGGCAGTATGTGGCAGGCTGCATGAAAGGGTATGTCTAAAGTTATCCTCGCTTTATATTTAGGACGTGCCATTCTTGTTGGGTAGTTTACATTTTAACATCGTGAACAGTAACATGGATGGAATGATTGGAATATTGGTAAGTTAAAAGGAAATGGTTGTGGACACATTAAAGGTAAATATCTAATATTAAAGCATTTATGAATCTTGTTGTTAAGGTAGGTTTTTATATTATAAGGGCGTTGTTGTCGATCCCATGACGTTTTGAGAGACGATGGGCGTACCAAAAAAGCCACTGCCCTGCATTGCAATTCTTGCTGTACTTAAATGAAAAATCTATCAAATCACTGTGTATTTTACTAAAACTATGTCTAAAAGAATTTTTATTCAATCTTTTTATGCAATCATCAACGAATATTAAAATTGTTTACCTCCAATATTTCCATGTCTGCCTAGAGCATCTTCATCAAAGAGAGGGGCTATCCAGCCACAAAAAAGACATTCATTTATTCTTACATCTCAAAACATTTTGCATTTTAAGTAAAGAAATAGAATAGCTTTAAACAATGATGCACTTTCAAGATAGAGATTTCAGTGGTCTGATTCAACGCTTCGCATAATTTTAAGAGAGAGTTTTCATGCATTTGAACATAGATCCATAACGAGATTGACTTTGACATAAAACATAGAACAGTGTCAGAGTGACAACCTCTGTTGAGAGGTGGATGTAGTCGTTTGGTAGACAGAGTGATCTGGTTCTGGGTCTTTTTATAAATTATATCAACAATGGGATTGTGTCTTTTAAGACATGTTTTAAAAATGTCCAATTCTTAAAACCTTGCGTTTGATAAAAATATCGATGATGATGATGATGGTGATGAGATCGTTGCCGTAAACAGCTGTTTTCTCTTTCCAGGTACTTTTCATCATACTGTTGACGCTTACCCCGGGTAAGTAGCCTTCTCGGACTGATCATGTATGTTTTTGAATATTTTATATTATGTGAATGGTATATTTAACCTAGGTCCCAGACCAAAAGGACAGTAAGATAAAATAAGAAGTAAATTAAAAACTTGTGTTAAATATTACGTTTATGTGCAGAATTCTGAATGGGTGGATAATGAGCATTTGACAAAAATGAAAATAACAGTGAAACTTTAATTTGTTCGTCCACTGAATTATGAAATTGTATCTCGTGGTGTTATGCCGTGAGGGTAAAGGAAGGGCAAATTGCATCGACTGTGATCGGCGACCACTGCATGAATACTTTACCCTAATTGCATGCTCCCAGGTGGCTGCTTTTGCCTTCGGTGGTTTGCTAATCCACAGTCTAACTAAAAAAGTCATGGGCAGGTTTTAATGAAATTTTCCGGATATTAGTACGTCAGAAATCAGCTAACTTAGACTCGCTTAGATTTTGGTAGTTATCCATTGGTTTATAGATTAGTTAATTCAATTTATTTCTGTACTGGTGTAAAGATTATCATGACGGTGTAGAATAAAATGCAATAATAATACAATTGGTGCAATACCGTTAATGATGAGTATTGAGCTGCTTGGTGGAGGTCTGGGTTCCCTTAGTGCTTTTCTAGTCTAACATGAGCTCAGTGTAAAAGAAAAAAAAAACGAATGCGAGGACACGTACTTTGGGCTCATTTCCAACGAGGGACACCAACTTTGGGCTCGTTCCCAACGAAGGACGCCAACTTTGGGGTCGTTCCCAACGAAGGACACCAACTTTGGGCTCATTTCCAATGAAACCATCGTTCTACATAGATCATTGCAACTCCGCGGGTTTTCTCGCTGAATGCAATCAGGCAGATAAGCAGAATGGACAAAGTGGGTGACCACTTTGCGGTAAATAATTAAGAAGAATACTCCCAAATATAGTTTTAATACAATTGAGTACTTTTCCCCAAATGTCCAAAATAATCTTATTTTCACTCACATAAAGAGAAAGGGTGTCCGATTTCTTTTTTCAGTTCATTCAAAAACCTCCCCACGCTCGACACTATAAGTCTGTGTTGGATATATATTCGTTTTTGTAACTTCCGCTTTTGCCATTGTGTGCTTCTGCTATATGATGGTTATCAAAGACGAAAGTTTTCTTGATACGATAATTTTCCTTCGTATACCTTTGTTACATGTATGTCAGTACAATTGACGCAATGAATTATTATCTTTTTACATATTTTGATCTATGAGTAACGATGTTGGGAACAGATTTTAAAACACTTTATACTGTAATTAAAGGAACACAATTCCAACGGGATAGATATTTTGTATTATTTCAGAGAAAAATATCTATACTGTATATTGTTGTTTGTCCTATCAGTTTCTAAAGGCAACGAAAAAAAATCGATGACTAGTTAAGCCCTTTCCTTACATTGTCCTAGATTGAGCTGGTCGAGCATATGCAAAAGATTGTATTTATTTATTTATTTATTTATTTATTTATTTATTTATTTATTTATTTATTTATTGCCTTGTACAGCCACGGGTCTAAGCAGTATTCGGCTAAGTGGCGTAACTGTTATAATCCCACAAATAATATTATATTTTTGCACTTTATTAATTCTTTATTAATTAATTAATTTATTTATTTATTTCAGATCTGACCTCATCTAGCTGTGACAGCGGTTGGACACATAAGCCCGAGGTAGGAAAGTGCTTTAGGGCCTACGATAGCTTCCAGAGCTACCAAGGCGCCAAAACCAACTGTGAAAACGTCGGAGGCACATTGGCCATGCCAAAGACTCAAGAGTTACACGAAGCCATGGCGTCCATACTGTATGTTTGATATTATTATTATTATTATTATTATTATTATTATCATTATTATTATCATGTTAAAGTTGTAAGACTAGGTCAAAAGGAAATAGCAATTATGATGCCCTCGAATCACAAATAAGGGGACGTATAATTTGCATGATATAAATTGTATCAATTGTATTGTACTACAGTGTACTGGTAAGAATCATCAAGGTCATAAAAGGATATGTACCAATACACGCGTAAACTGATTGGATAATAAGAAGAATGTAAGATATAAAACTTTAGCATTAAATGTATAGCATTGCAACCAAGGCCTGAACTAATACATCTAACATACTGCAGCGATACTATATCTTATTTAGGAGCACATATAGAGAGTATTGGATTGGCCTGGAGAGACGGACCGGAAACACAGACACCTGGTTGGACGGTACACCGGTGTCGTGGAGTTATATCTGCCCATGTGATGGTAAAGAGTCGTCCTGCGCCGCGTATCGAACTGTGGGGAGCGACAGCGGTGGAAATCACTACTGGGCAGACGCCTCGTGCTCCAGTTATTATCGCTATGTGTGCGAAAAATCAGGTAAGGGTTTTTGAGTGCCTTTGATGACTTGGACTCTTTTCGCATAGGGCGGTTCACTTAACTAGACAGGTCCATTTAAGGGACCATTCCCAAAGATATTTGGATCAATCTATCTCCCTGGCGAGTCTCACTAAATTGCTATCAAACTAACCGGCTTAAATGTCTGTCACGCCTAGTAAAGCTGTAAGGGGGTAATTATCTTCACCCTGGCTGGTTTAGTGAGGCTCCCCAGGGAGTTATGTCGATCCAGATGGATCGATCTATGTATGGGAACCCAGTCTAAGATCATTAAACGCTCGACACGGCCGAATAGCTGGTTGGAAGGTACAGTAGCGCCACAGAACAATATCTGCCCTTTGTGATAGTGAACAGTTACACTGCATGAGATATAAATCTTCATTTTCTGATATAGATGGGACTAGTGGTGCCGGGGCGGTGGCTAACCCATGTCCGTCAGGCTGGTCCCACAAGGCGTATGTCGACAGATGTTACTGGCACTCTGGCCACACACATGCGAATTACGAAGACTCTAAAACGGCCTGTGCAAACACAAACGGCGCCACCATAGCTATGCCTAAAACCGCAGAACAACAGGCCGCAATGGTGACCATGTTGTAAGTTTATTTCGCATTGAAATTCATCATATGGGCAAGGAAGTTCGCAAAATATACCTCAGGACAGCAACGGCATGGTTAATTTCACTTCAAACATTATTTTTAATGTAAACAAATTTAGAAAAAAGAACCCCCCTTTTGAAATTGCTGGCTACGGGCCTGTGTCCATCCATGTTGACAATAAGTGCATTGTACTTTCCATAGCAAAATCGTCCACGTTTAGTACACTACCTAGATATTTCCCTCTGTTTGTATTTGTGAAGTCCACCAAGGCCAAATGTTTATCTTTGTGCTCCCTCCACCTACCCACTATCAGATTGATTTTTCACCAGATATTTACGAATATATCGCTGGCTCATTCAATGCAGTGGACAGTGCAGGTTTTTTTGTCATGAATTAACCCGAAACATATCTGTGAACATCTAGCAAAAATCAACCTGTGCTCTGGTAGAGGGTATCTCCCCCAAACCCCCCCCCCCCACCCACCCACCCACCCCCAAACACAAACACACAAACATGCCTTCTTTGCCAAAGCCCTGTATCCTCTGGTGTATTTTTGGTCACGGTTATTTCTCACCATTTCTCGTCTCCAGGTCAAGTTCTGAGTACTGGATAGGACTTGAACACATGGGCTCCAACCCCGACCAGTGGGCCGACGGTACCACACCAACCTATGATAACATATACCCGTATGACTCTCGGGGCAGCTCCAGTTGCAATGCCTATCGGGCACACAACAGCTACAGTTTCCAATGGCTGGACCGGTCTTGCTCTAATAGTTATCGCTACGTATGCGAAATCATAGGTAAGCGGTTTGTCTTTAATTTATCACTGCGCATTTACATGTACTTAATCTTGCGGTGTTGCTTTCGGATCGTAGGCCCTACGTACTGACAGCGGTATTTGCATTTACTTGTATCAGGCCCGTAGCCAGCAATTTCAAAAGGGGGGTTCTTTTTCTGAAAAAATGGACCTTTTCCCATAAAAACTTCATGTACCTAGATCAAATTTTACCCAGAGTGGACCTTTTCCCAGCAAAAGGGGCGGTTCTTTCGAACCCCCTGAACCCCTCCCTGGCTACGGGCCTGTATATATTACTCTAATTTGCATCACGAGCATTTTAATTAGTACCTCACTTTCAGACCGAAGTCTGCTTCATATTTGTCACAGATAATAAGGCCTCAGCGCATCTATGAAAAAATCTTAAGCGTTTAGCAAATCCAAGTGCCTGTCAGACTTTGTGTCCAACTATTTTCAATTAAATGCGATATAAGGCTGATCTTCCTATTGGCCTTATATTTCAGTTGGTACGGGTTGCAGCGCCCCCTCTTCTCCTGGTCATACCACAGAGGTCGTAGAGGGTACAGACGTAGGAGACAATATCACCTATACTTGTGAGTCCGGGACAACTCTTACCAGTGGAGACCTCGTGCGAGTGTGTCAGTCTGACCGGACGTGGAACGGCTCGGCACCCGTGTGTGAAGGTAAGGGTATCTAGCATGTTACGCCATGCTGCGCCCTTCATTAGGAAAGCCAAAATTTCCAGGTACTTTATATTTCTGCTTTTGGTGGCGTACCTATTGATGTCACCCTAAGGGCACAACGTGAGTTACAAAAATGTGCAATAGCCTTAGCTGTAGGGTTGAACATATGGTTTAGTATTACGCTAGGCTGCTCCTTCTGCTGCTATTGACTCGTGAAGCTTCACGGCACTCTACGCGCTTAGGAATCTCTCCCACAGTTATCTACATGGATCTAAAGCTATATTTATCTCAGTTGTAATGTTGTTGTTTTTTCTAACAGTGGAAAAGTTGTGTCCCCTTTCCTCTCGGATGATATGACTTTTGAATGCAGAATGTTGACCTGAAATTACAAGTTCAAAGGCCTTTTTCGTAGCCGTTGATACCTCTTTGGTAACATGTACGAACTGCTTTCGAAAGCGCTAATTTGAATTTACATTTACATCGAAGGTTGCAGTTTCCTCTACCGACACCCTGCATTCGTGCTGTTGGGAGCTCTCGTTTGAAGTAACTTTGACCTTGGATTTTAAGCACTGAAGCCAATCTTTTCTCTGGGGACTTATGAAAGTCATAATATTAACCTCATATTTCAGTTACAGTAAAAAGTGACCCCTTAACAGTTATATCCTGCAGCCACCTCTACTGTCACGACGGCCCATGGGAATTACAATGCTTACCTTATTTCTCAGCTATAACCTGTAGTACCCCCTTAGCACCAACTGATATTACTCGTGTCGTAGCGAGCACAGATGTAGGGGACACCATCACAAATCCTTTGTTCTTGGCGTTCGTAGTTCTCCTTTATTTAATAGTTTTACCATTTTTATCCTGTCAAGGATTAGTGACGTAGGATCATTTTGTTTTTCAAGAAATCCTTTCAATTCATATAGTCTAGCAGGGGTGGATCCAGGATTATTTGAAGGGGGGTCCAGAACGCCAACCCTGGAATGTACAATGTAGAGCCGACCATCGCCCCCTTGGCGTGGGGTTCAGGGTTTGCTCAAAATATTTGGTGTTTTGGAGGGCAAACGGTGATCTTTGGTACGGTTTAGAACTATGATTCAGCTGTCAAAATTCTTATTTCCCACCTCTAAATCCGCCGCTGGTCTACCATACTTTTTGTCAGTGATTATTGCACATACTCTTCTCGCGAGCAACAAACTTCTGCTTTAATTGTGGTGTATTTCTACTACTTTATAGTTATCAAAGACGAAAGTTTTCTGGATACGATCATTTTACTTCGTATACATTTGTTACACGCAATGAAATATTATTTTTTTACATTTTGTCTACGAGAAACGATGTTTAAACAGATTTAGCACTCTATACTCTACTAAATACAAAGCAATTCCAACAGAAAAATATCTGTACCGTATATTTTTGTCCTATCAATTTCTAAATGCACATTTTTGTTACTCAGCACCGATACCCGGTATATCTACGATTACATTGGCTCTTTCCTTAAATTGTCCTAAAATGAACTGGTCGAGTAGATTCAAAAGATGAAAGTTTTTTTTTTCAATGCCCAGTCCCGGGTCTAAGCAGTATTTGGTTAGGTAGTGTGACCATTTTAATCCCACAAAATATGTCATATACCTGTATTTTGAACTTTATTTATTCATTTTTTTTTAGATCTGACCTGTGGCAGCGGTTGGACACACAAGCCCGAGGTAGGAAAGTGCTACAGGGCCTACGATAGCGACCAGAGCTACCAAAACGCGAAAACCAACTGCGAAAACGTTGGAGGCACACTGGCCATGCCAAAGACTCAGGAGTTACACGAAGCCATGGCGTCCATACTGTATGTTTATTATTATTATTATTATTATTATTATTATTATTATTATTATTATAAAGTTGCAAGATTAGTTCAAAGGGAAATAGCAATTCTGATGTCCCCGAATCACAAATAAGGGGATGTGCAATTTGCATTTATCATTTGTATTGTACTGGTAGGATCCTCATGGTCATCAAAGGAAATGTATCAGTACACGCGTAAACTGAACTGATATGAAAAAGAACTTAAGATATAAAGCTTCATCATTCAATGTGTTGGATTGCAGTCGATATATATAAACCAAAGCATGAACTGATACATCTTATACTGCAGCGATACTATATCTTCTTCAGGAGCGACAGGGAGTATTGGATTGGCCTGGAGAGACTAACTGGAAGCACAGATACCTGGTTGGACGGTACAGCGGTGTCGTGGGACTATATCTGCCCATGTGATGGTAAAGAGTCGTCCTGCGCCGCGTATCGAACTTTGGGGAGCTACTACGGTGGAAATCATTACTGGGCAGACATCTCGTGCTACAATAATCATCGTTACGTGTGCGAAAAAGCAGGTAAGGGTTTCTGAGTGCCTTTGACTTCGGCTCTTTTCGCATAGGGCGGTGCACTTAACTAAACCGGTTCATTTAAGATCATGAAACTCTCGACACGGTCGTTTAATTAAGTTGTCATAGGTAAAAAAATTTATAACTGCACATTTTTTTAAATTTCTGTTTGTACCAGTATACTTGACCCAGTTTACGTACCTTAGAGTTCAATAATGATACGAAAGGAAATAATGGAACGAAACAGTTTATATTATTCGAAACTATATAATGGTATTTGATCTGGTTTAGTGAAAAAAATTTATTTGTCTACTGGCGTAATACGCATCTATACTGTATTAAGTTTTGTAATGTAGGCAGCTACAGTATCGAGGCTGCTTGCGAGGGTAGGACGGTAGCGCTACAGTGTTCCTTAAACCATGTCATCCATATTGTGGACGCTGTTTATGGCCGGACCAACACTTTAACGTGTGTCCACCATGCCATGTCCAACACGAACTGCAACGCCAGCACGTCCTACAGCGTCGTGGCCGCAGCATGCGAGGGTCAGCAGTCCTGCTCTGTGGTAGCACATAGGAGCACATTCGGTCAGGATCCTTGTGATGGAACCTACAAGTATCTAAAGATATACTATAATTGTCAAGGTAAACGAGTAGTTGGAATTATACTACCACGGAGATCAGTGATGAAGTTCTATGTAGATTACTTCTACTTTTTCCTGGCAGTGACGACTGTAGTGGCGCTATTGCTCATGTTGCTTCATGCAGTATTATAGTGTTTTTCTATCTTCAACAGGAGTGATTTTGTTTTTACTGTTGTTAGAATCCTGCAAAAACAACACTTACCACTTTTTATCAGTAGACCTAATTAGAGTTGTGCTGCTTAAGGGTGGCATTTGCTATGCTTAATACAACTGCCTGGAATTGTACTTAGAGTGTATTGCAGATTATTAAATTGATGGGTATTAATTTGACACTTTAGGGCATAAATGGTTTCATTTGAACCCCAAGATTGAAAACACAACACGAACCAGGGTTAAATCTGTTAAAATGAAACTTAGTTCCTGTATAGAATTACATACAGCGCTGTAATCCTTAAAGTTCATAATAATATAAGTGCTCTTGACTAGATTCAGGCATTGCACAGCCGGTGGCATTCTGGCCGTTGGACGCTAACAGCCTGGGCACCGATTTAAGTGGGAATGGACACAATGGAACGGTACATAATGCCACACCTTCGGCCGGACCTTACGGAGACGCCCATGCTTTGACCTTTGCTGAAGCCAGTGACTCCCATGTGGTCATACCAGCGCATGCGCAGCTTGCCGTCCAGAACTTCACTTTGATGTTCTTCATATATCTGGAGAACTTGGACCCCAGTTGCATATTTGAGTACGCATCCAATCCAGTCGCGTCTCACATATGGCTTCACCCTAACGGGCAATCTCTAAAGATAAACCTCATTGACTCAAGCGACCATAATCTGCAGCACTTCAGTCAGGTGAACAACATATTTACAGAGAGAACGTGGCATAGGGTGGTCGTCAGCTACTCACAGACTACCGGGGAACTGGCAGTGGAATCTGAAGTGTTTGACACCCAGGAGTCCAACAATAATACGAAGCAGTTAGGGACATTTACTCATCACACAAACGGTCTCAATCTGCAAATAGGCAAGCGACAAGGGGTGGCCACAGAAATGTTCGACGGACGTTTATCGTGTGTTCATCTGTTTGATGACGTCATCGATGAGGACTCCAAGAATGCAGCGTGGGAACGATGCCAAGAGAGAGGGAATTTGGGTAAGTGGTCAGTGTATTGTCTTGACACTGACAGACCCAGTATTTGCTTTTTTTTGGGGGGGGGGTCACAAAGTTTTTTAAAAAGCGCTTCGCTTCACACGGCGTCCTTGCAAACGCATAATTCAACTTTCATATGAATTATATTTAATTCCGATTTCTCATTACTGTCTCTGATAAGAAAGATACTATTGAAATGACTTCTTGTCATTGTACTTACATCCCCTTATTATCTTTTATCTATTTCACTTTAGCGTGCAATGCCCCGGATGACGGGATCAATGCTGCCTACTCTGGTAACTTGACAATGGGGTCTGTGGTATCGTACACCTGCAACTTAAATGCCACTTACATCAACGGGGACTCCAACAGAACGTGCTTGGGAGATTTAACGTGGTCTGGTACACGGATGGAGTGTCATTGTAAGCATAAGTAGAACAGCAAGTAATTCAAATTATTTTAAAATGTTTCGAGAATAGTCTCCAAACTGAAGTTTCACTGGGGTTTGCAGATTATTAATTGGTATATCATGTCCTTTTTATAACCCATGGTATTTTAGAATACATATTGTATGCCCTGCCTGCTTATGACTTTTCCTTACTTTTGGGTCTTCTAATCTATAGTGATAAGTCGCCTTCTCTCTGATTACTGATAACAAGACCATCATATCCATGAGTCTGCATGGTCCTTTTGTGATAACAAGAACTTTCTTCCCATGGGTCTTCTGCATGTGCTCTAGCTCCCTATACCCACGAGCCTTCATGGCCTTAGTGATAACAAGAGCTTCCTATGCATGAGTCTTCAGGACCATAATGACAATAAGACCTTATTACGCATGAGTCTTCAGGGCCATTGTGATAATACGAACTCCCCACCCATGAGTTTTAAGCAACATCTCAAACCCACCTTGTACTATTTCGATGGGGATCTGACTGTCTACAGTACGATGTGATGAAGATCAAAGCATAGCCAGAGCATTCTGACAGATTTAATAAAACATATGCCAATTGAGTCAAATTGTTATGTTTCAGACGACCTACAAAAAGCTGCTTTCTGGCCGTTTGACGGCAACAGTCTCGGCAACGACTTCACCGGAAGAGGGCACCACGGAGTACTTCATAACGTGATAGCAGCGCCGGGTCCTTTTGGGGCTCTACATGCGTTGGAATTCTCTCCCGCCTCTCTATCGCACGTGACGGTGCCAGCACATCCCGATCTGGCTGTCCAGAGTTTTACATTGATTTGGCTAATGAATCCTGTGAGTGTGGGTTCATCTGGAACGGGCTGTTTATTTGAATTCGGAACTGCAAGACCCCATATATGGCAGTGGCCTTCGGGAGCTCACTTATATGCCAACCTGATGGATACTGGAGGCCGATCCCACTCTTACACATATCCCAACGTATTCACTGCCAACACGTGGCAGAAAGCCATCGTGCAATTTGACCGAGGCACGGGGACAGTTTTGTTAGGAGTGGGGTCTCTCGATTCCCAATATTTCAATAATTCAACTGCGGTGATTGGGCAGTTTGATATCATGACAGCGGGTCAAGATTTCCATATAGGCAAACGGTCCAGTCTCAATACACACGTGTTCAATGGCCGGTTATCGTGCATCCACCTTTTTAACACAGTGGTTGACTTGCAGACAATTAATGAAGCATGGGAGCTGTGCAGAGAAAGAGGAAACTTAAGTAAGTATTCTATTGGTGTGATGATATTGAATTTTTAAATCTAAACTCGATAGAAAGTAGATGGTGTGTTTGTTTGTGTGTGTGCGTGCGAGTGGAGAATAAAGAGGGATTACTAATAGTACTGCATATCGACTGATATTGAAATTGTGAGTTAATGATCAATGAGCTTTGATGGTTGGCAGAAAAGTTGTGCTAGATAAGACTAGCGACGCTAATTAGAGACAGCCTATGTTATAAGGTGTAACACCTTGTGTTAGGCATGACAATTGATTGTTTGGTTAGGCAATTAATTGTGCTTACTGTGACGTCTGAATGTGTTAGGTGTGACGGTTGTTGTCAGCTGTGACACCATTGTATTTGTGTGACAACGAATTGGGCTAGATACCTGTATACATTTTTAGTCATATCTGTTTATTCAAGAAATATATTTATGAATACATGCCACCTTTACATGTATTAATATATGTTTCTTGAATAGGTATAATTAAAAAAGGAAAAGGAAACAGTTAGGGACTTTAGATAGATAAGATAATAATGACACCTTTGGCAACAAGTTCCCTTTAGGTAAAACTACACTGATATTTTGCTGTGAACATCAAAATGATAAACATGTGTATATAACAGTCACAACATAATAGGACCTCTTCAGCAGCGGTGTTATTTGTATTTTTTTATTTTTTAAAAGCCATTTCAGTTTTAATTTAACGATTCATGTTGAAAGAGATCCTTTGTACAGCCAATTTTTATTTGTATTACACTCTGTTAAAAATATTTAACAGTTTTTCAATAAAATTCTCTTTTCTTCTTCATACATTCAAGTTACACATTTGTAACATTTTGTGACTGATTAGATTTTTATTTATTTATTCAGCATGTTCCGCTCCTGAACCCGGGGTAAACGCGACTTATTCGGGCAACTTAACCATGGGCTTGGTGGTGACGTACAGCTGTAACGTGGGTCACGTGCACGCCAGCGGTAACGTCACTAGGACGTGCCTGGGGAATTTAACGTGGTCTGGGACGCAAATGGAATGCGAAGGTAAGTGTCAGGTTAAAAGGGGGCTTATCTTGGCCACACACATCGCATGTTTTAAAAATGTCTCAGAACCAGTTTCACAGAATAAGCCGATGGTAAGCGAACATTAATTATTTGTGACTGTTAATCCCGCCAAGAAGAGAATAGTGAGTGAATGAGTGTTAAACTTACTTTTGTCTGTTAAAGAAGTGAAAAGGGATCCTCTCCTAAAAATACTTACGGCACAATGGAACAAAGAACGCTCGCCGATAATTGTCCTCAACACCATAAACATCAAATTAAGTTCACTTTCGGTTTCCCTAAGGCTGGTCTCCACAAATGGACAGACGTTGGATCAGACGTTTCATCCGTTGGTTAACCAGGAATGGTCGATCAGCAGTCACAGTCACTTCGTAGAAAAAAAAACAAAAAACACGTAGTAGTATCGACCACTCGTCGAGATAGGTGCAACTTATAATTAGCTCGCTGGTCTCTTGACTGTTGCTTACTTGGACGGTGCTTCTTCTGGCAATGTTATCAGAAATGCTGCAGCTGTCAATGCGGAAAAAATCAAGTTTGAAAAGCAATCCGGCAGAACAGGGCAAAGCTGATATTTTTAGCGCTTGTTCTCTGACTCAATCAAGAAAAAGTCACAATGAGAAACTAGATATAGGCCCCCTACGGAAGTCGAAAATGATGATTTGTTCACATGGACATAGTATAGTAAATTACTGCATTCTCTTCCCAGTTGTTATTTGCAGCGATCCCGGTTTTATCAGCAACAGCGCAAGGCTTCCGACCACGAGTCAAAACTTCTATGGTGGGAACAACGTGACTTACACGTGCGACAGCGGTTATTTCTTAGCAAACGGTTCGTTGTCACGTGTGTGTCAGGACAATAGCACGTGGAGTGATGATCCGCCTTTTTGCGAAGGTGAGTCCGTGAAAATAGTCCTAAAATAAGATCCATGATGATGTATTATTGTACTTGTTGTAGATTTTGTGGAAATTGCATTTAAATTGCAAGCAACTGAAGATGTCGGTATCCGCTACTCGCTGGGCGGTCTAATATAAGGCTGTGCCTATGCGCTTAAGGACGCCTGTGAGATCCAAGACCTGCATAAATCCATACTTTTTAGTCATCCCTGAGTGGTCAACGCCGTGCTATGGCGACTGGGGACATGGCTACTACAGTCACTGCTACATCATCAATGACACTCTCACAGATTGGGAGACAGCGAATGATGATTGCCATAGACTCGGAGGCTACATCTGGGTCCCAGAGACAATTGCCGAGAGGAACCATGTGTCTGGTTTATCGACACTCACTCGCTGGTGGGTTGGTAAGTATACATTTACTTTTAAGTTAAGTATATTTTTCAATGATTTTCAAAAAATAATAATAATATTCAGACGAACACAGGGCCGTAGCCTCCGGGGGGGCAGGGGGGGCGGNACTTCTTATCCCTTTTGGCAAAGATTATTGAATCTTTGAGTGAAATTCAGGAAAATTTCAATTTAACCCCAGATGAAATCTTATCACAACCATTATGTCAAAACTCAAAAATTGAAAGAAATTAAAAAACTATTTTCCATAAAAGATGGTGTAAAAATGTTTTTGGTTTTTTTACATCAATGATATTATAAATGATATTTGAAATCCCCTCTGTCTAGAGTAACTCAACAAAAAATCAACCTTAACACTAACTTTCTGGGCTAATTCAGCATGTTAAATACTTGTTGCTAGGGTAATATGCTGCCTAGCAACTGTTGCAATGGTTTACTTGGGTTTTCAATGTCTTAATTTAGTATAGTGATAGTTCGATGGTTTGAATCATTATTAAAAGCCTTTTTAAATAATTTAAACTGAACAAGAGAGGTCCAATTAGCTTGTTACTAAGGTAAATCACTTCCTTAGCAACGGTTGCTAAGCAACGCTTTGAAATTTTGGGCACTGCCCTTGAAAATGATCAGCATAGTCCAAAGAACATTTGTGCCAAGTTTCATGCTTTTTCCACCTTTTGAGCAATTTTTGCACCAGTCATCTAGACTACTCCCACAACCTCCCCACTCAGGGGGCTTTGCCCCCTCGTGTCCGCTTACTGCCCCCCCTGGCATTTTGCTCAGGCTACGGCCCTGGAACAGTGAGTTATTTGACCTTCCACATATAATAAGGGTCTATAGCTGTATATATATTTTATGTTATTCATGGTCATGTCTACTTGATATTGAATTATACCATGTTTGTGTTCACACAAATATATTTATTGCAGCAAAAACGAGGTATAGTTGTTAGAGGCAAGAGCAAGAGGCATAGTTATTAGTAAATGAGGATATTGGGTTTGTTTTACATTAAGGGAATTTTTTTAATGAATAGATGGATTTATTGACGTTTGACCATAATATGGCGTGTGTTTGATAGAAATAGGCCAAGAAATTAGGTCTTACAGGTTTTGTGAACTTGGGCGTTTTTTTTGTGACACAAGCCAATAATTCTCAAAGACTCCTGAAAACAGACACTACATGTAGTTATTTAACACCTCTTTCCCCAGGTATTACCGACCCATGGTATACGGAAGCAACTATTCCGTTGTCTGGATCTCTGCTGAAAGATAACATTTTCAGTAGCAACGAACCGGATGATTTGGACAAGATTTACGTTCGCTTAAACGGAGCTGGCGTAAGTGACACTGACTCGGGCACTACAGACAGGAGGAACATCTGTGAGCAAAGCCCAGGTAGTATCTACAACATTGTGTCCCTATTGGTTTATATTTCAATACAGATTGGACATTGTTGGTGATTTCATTGCCTCTGTCAATGCATGGTTATAGATATGTGTTGTAATGCTTCGGTTTGAAATGTATTATATATAACTGAGAGAGAGAGAAGGAGAGTGCAATTAATTTCTTTAACAAAGAGAATTTGGGGAGTTGAATTTAGTTGAGATTGTTACCACTTCTTTTTATACTGAATAAACTCTATCCTGAAAGTTTCATCAATATATGCCAATATTTTTTAAGGATACCTTGTCCACCAACAAATAGACATATCGACGCTGATGCAAACAAAAACTTATATTTCAGCTTACCTTGGCTGTTATCGTACGGAAAGTGGCCTGGCCGCAACCCTCAGCAGTCCCTTACACATGAACCTCCAGCAGTGTATTGAGTACTGCCGTGGACTGTCCCGTGCCTTCGCCGGTGTGTCTTCCTCGGAGTGTTACTGCACGCAGACCGTTACTGAAGCTAACAAGGAGAACGACTTCACTCTCTGTGATACAAAATGTCCTGGAAACAAACACCAGTTCTGCGGGGGCAATGGATATGTTTCGATGTATCTTGTTAGTAAGTGCCAGTGTGTGTGTGTGTGAGTGTGTGTGTGTGTGTGTGCTTGTGTGTGTGTGTGTGTGCGCGCGTGTTTGTGCGTGTATACTTGCATACATCTGTCTACGCCGATAGATGGGCAGACGTAAAAAGCTACATACATAGATAGTTGAACTATAATTATTATACACCTGTTTTTATTGCGTGATAAATCAAATAAAAATTGTTCTGGTAAGGTGAGAACCTCTGCAGCCACTGGAAATTAATGGAACCAGAAAAATATTGCGACATTTTGTAATTAACTGTAAAGGTGTAAATAACCCACTGCCTTTTGTAAACCACACAGAGATGTACTGTAGTGCGGTTTATAAGAACAAGACTTCACTTTTACTTTTTAGCTTGGATATCAGTAGTAGCCAGTTCCTGTGATGTCCTGTACAAAAACGGTGTCAGGGAGTACGGGCAGTATTGGGTGGCAGCGGAATGGATAGCCCAAAACATCCGAGTGGAGTGCTTTACATCAAGTGAGTTCTTTGCCCATTGTAAGCTCCTAGTTATTTTGGATTGAGTGTTCCGTTAATATTCTTTTGTTTATTTCTTATTACTTACATTTATTTATTTATTTATTTATTTATTTATTTATTTATTTTTTCCTTTGTGTGTGTGTGTGTGTGATTTCAAAAGATATGATTGTTTTGAAAGGTATCTAAGTCCCGGTCTTTAAAAATGCACGTTTAATTTTAATTTTTTAATTGAAAATGTAATATCAATAAAAATGGATATAAACGCGTCAGACCTTTGAGGTACCCCTTCGAAATTCGGTGCCTAGAAAATTTTCTTAATATTAAGTTTTATTTTATTGATTCCAGTTCTCATAAGGCTTTAAAACAAATTTAACGTGGTTGCCAATTTGGCAGCCTTTGGGATTTCAAAATGTCAAAATGGCCGCCAATTCTCAATTTTCTTTATAAATGTTCTTAAAATACTGAATGATATTCAGTTAATTATATTTAATTTTTTTGTTTGGTAATGTTTGGCTGATATATCAGTACATGATTTTCATATATCGTTTCAGGTCCGTGTAACGAGTGGCTGGTATATCAGATCATGTTTTTCATATATTGTTTCAGGTCCGTGTAACGAGTGGCTGATATATCAGGTCACGTTTTTCATATATCGTTTCAGGTCAGTGTAACGAGTGGCTGATTTATCAGATCAGCGATTCTTCAATATCGGCATCATCCAGCAGAAGCAACCTCTCGCATACTGATATAAGGTGCGGTTCACATTTAATTCAGTAGATAAATAGAATAAAAAACGTTTTACTCTTCACATTTATATTGAGTTTTCTTGCCGCCATGGCGGATATCTGTACTCTCTCTCTTTTTTTTTTTTTTTAGTCAAAAACATGCTGTTATTGTTAAATAGCGAAAAATGGCAAATTAATATATCCAAGCATTATAGCAGTTTGCTGAAAATTTAATAATAATAATAATAATAATAATAATGAATTTTATTTGCACCACTCCAGACTATATGGTGAGAGTGGATGGGGTCCAGACGTAAGTGCTGACACTAACGGCTCTTGGGTTCAGCTGTCCTTTCCAAACCGGTATATAGTCACTGGCTTCAAGACACAAGGTATGTTTTATTTTAATCGTATGTGATAACTGTGTAATTAACGGGCTAGTCATTAAACGCTTAACTCCATTGTTAGATGTGCAATAAACTTAGCAATACGACTATTATATGGGATTTCCTCATTGACCATTTACCAAGCACTGAGCAGGTGCAAGAGAAAAAAAAATTGAAAACGTCATGCGATTGACCAATATGATAAGTACGAGGGGGAATTCGGTAGTTTCAATTTGTTTTATTTCAAGGGGGAATTATTTATGAAATCACACGACCTATAGACTCCATGCTTAATATATATATATATATATATATATATATATATATATATATATATATATATATATATATATATATATATATATATCTTTCACAGGGCGTAATGATATTGATCAATTAGAGAGAGTGCAGAACTTTACAGTACAGTACAGAGATACAAGTATTGGCGCTGACTGGAGAACGTACATCAATGAGTCCGACGAAAATGTGGTAAGATTTATATCAACTTTTCACAAAATTTTATCTTTGCCAATAACTGGAAAATCGAACAAGGGTATTATTGTTTTTGTGTTGTTTGAAAGTAACTTTAATTGCACGTTATTCGTTTCTTTTTTTTTAATTTTGTGCAATTTGTATAGTAAAGTTGGCTTGTTTGTCTCTATATTCTATCCACCATATAATAACCAAACTTTTGGCGCCTTTTTACACATTAAAAAAGTATCTTCATTATGCGTGACGCGGCCGTGCGTTACAATTAATGCCGTAATTAATTTATAACATGTAGTAATTGCGTATAAAAGTAAACTTAATGGGTTTTATGTAAATATATTGGATGGCAGGCATACTGCAGATGGCTTATTTTCTTATATGCCACTTAACCAGAGATAAAATCCATGAAGCAAAGTGGCGCGGGACGTTCAATAATTCAAATAAGTGACAGTTGGATGTTTGTTGCGATTCTTATTCTATTTGCTTATCCATTTAACAAACATTTATTTTAGTTTCAAATAACCAGCATCTTATTTTTAAGTTTGACGCCAGAGGGCCAACGAGTAGCGATTTCAACACCCCTGTGTACAACGAAGTTGAGGACCCGTTTGTGGCCACAGATATCCGAGTTCTGCCGGAAACCGGCAGCTGTCTAGGGTCCGGATGTGTCATGAGATTGGACGTCAGCGGGTGCCAGTTTGATACATTCTCAGGTAAAATAATTCTTGATCATGGATTGTTGATCAGCCAGTTGCGGCACCGCCAGAGGCAAATATTTCACTGTGCGCTTTGACTAGTCGTTGGCGTGTGGTTAAGGTTAATCGCGCTAGCCACAACTGTTATACGGTTTTAACATTAAATATTCCATTAATGTACATTATTTGATTTTCTTTATCCCACCAAGAAACTGCTGTGGACATAGGATGCTTCCTGGATGACCAAAACCACCCAGAATTCCCGAATATCCTGTCTTCCGGTATCACGTCGACGTCAGAATGTCGTGAGCTTTGTGCACAGGGTGGTTACATGTACGCTGCTGTCACCAACGGTATGACATCCAACGGTTGTTTAAAGGGAATACGCGGTTATCATTAAAGGGATAACAACTCTTGGTATGAAATCTATATTTCACAAAAAAAAAAAAAAAAATCATAGAAATATAATATAATATATTCTATTTTACCACAAAAACGGCAGTTATAGCAATTATTTTGAAATCTGTGCTTGTCATCGTACCATGTGATCTCCATAGAGAGTTTATAACCAAAAAAAAACTTTTTAGAAAAAAAAAACAGGGACTAACTTTGAACGTAGAAATGGATTCATTAACCATTTGTAAGTATGAGAAAATTGGCATTTACCCCATCAAAAAATTTTGGCCAAAATGAACGGTTGTTATCCTTTTAATATTATTGCCAACATATGAGGAACACAAGTAGAAGTAAGAAATATATAGAATCAAACGTTTAAATGCCTGCACACACAAACACATTTATGATAAACAACAAAAAGATGAAACAATACTCAAAGGTACAGAACGCGGGAACACTGAAAAGCAGAGAAACTAGACTATTGTAAAGCAACAAATAATAGTAATTATTATCATTTTCTCAGGGACCGTGTGTGGGTGCGGAAACGAGATCGGAAAATACGGGAAGGTACGCCAGAGAATGTGCAATATCGCGTGCACCGGCAACCCACGTGACGCATGCGGTGGAGAATTATTCAATTCAGTCTTCCGAGTTTGGAGTAAGTACGACTCAAGTGCAGGTCTCAAACAAAAATGGCAGCACAAATGCAGTCGGAAGTGGTTGACAAAATATATTTGCGAAAAGAAAAAATGTAAGAATGTGTTAATGCAATGAATGTTGAATTAAATTGTCATATGACTGCGACGATCAGTTGCGTTTGTATTCAATATGTAAATAAGTCAGAGCTCATACATATATAAACCAAAAAAAAAATAAATAACACCAGATAAAGAGCTTAAATTTACTTTTGACAGGTATTAAGTGCCCGGAACTTCCACAAATATCCAATATGGACTTGAATACGACCGAACGTTCCCATGGTGACGTTGCAAAATACACGTGTCTCCATGGATACCGGTTGCCTTCAGGAACCAATGAAACAGACGTCTTGAGATGTGTTCAGAAGCAATGGGTAGGGGATATCCCTGCCCAGGGATGCGAACGTACGTTAAAACTTATCAACCCTAATTGCGTTGCTTTTTATTAGTGTGGGTATGATATGTACATTGTCACAATCTGTGAGAAAAATTCTAATCGTGTGTCCGCACATGCATATGTAACATATACTGCTTTTATGTTATTAGTTCTTTTTCAGAACTCATACTTCTTGACAAGTCATATAATAAAAGATCTTTTGAAAATAAAATATTTAAATGATACCTAGAAATAGGTCAGGCCTTTTGTCGTGTAGAATTCCAGGCCCAATAATCTCCTTCTCAATTTTCATGAAACTGAATTATACTATTACTGGATGCGTTTTGCCTTATTAACAGGCATAGTTTGCAACGGAGCGCTACCCACTGTGGCCAACGCGACAAGAACAGATACCGGGAATTTCTTGGATAGCACTGCCACCTACCGATGCTTCTATGGTTTCCTGTACCCAGATGAAAGCGATGTCCAGCAGCTTCGTTGCCAGGATACTGGGGCGTGGTCATCTTTATCTCATACTGATTGCCAGGGTAATTTCTCCTCCAACCCAAACCTTGTTCATTTATTTTTTAACAGTATTTGTTCCTTGGAACTCCTGGGCCAATTTCAGTTTTCGATCCAACTCGGAATCCCCATCAAGTAATAATAATAATAATAATAATGTATTACTGTGTAGTGGGTACAGGCTATAAACTCGATTGTTCATTAGTGTCTTTGGTTTACGGCTGGTCTCTCGCTATTAGACAGCTTGTGATCAGTTGAGATCTTTTCAACAAACGTACTGAGTAGGAACACCACATGTTATTCTGAAACGTAATTTATCCAGAGAGATTGTGTAGTGCGCCCCCAGATGTCGCCAATGCCACCGCTGTCTTCAACAACCGCACCTGGACGTTTACCTGTGACGCTGGGTACGCGGTGTCGGCCGGACACACCACGCAGACCCTGTTCTGTAATTTACAGGGTCAGTGGGTAGGAAGTGTGGAAAACTGTGGTAAGAATTCGAAGTAATTTTTTCTGTTGCTATTTTGAATATAAATGCCGTTTTCCCTTTCTGATAACATAAAATGAACTGCACCTAAACTTATTTCAGGAAATAATTCTCGGGCATTCATCCGTAAATAAATATAGATATAAATATTTTAACAATTGCGTATGCGACTTTTAAACTAAGAGCTTGATTGAAAAGATCAGATCCAGTGGTGAGAGGGTAGGTAGAGGAGTTATTGTTCAGACATTACAATGTAATTTGGCCCCCTTCCTGATGAAAGGCGCCCATGAATACGGTAGGTAATGTTATTAGTTTTGTTTCATTACCTTTTGTTAGTTAAGTGGACGCATTTTTGTACGACTTTCTGGTAAATCAGTTTGCTATATTCTATACACCTTTTTATCCGCATATTATTTCATCATGCTCCATCTTGTTAAAATTTTCTTTTGGTTTTGGTATTTTTTTCCGAAAGATATGGACGTTCAAATACTCTAGTACTGTTTGAATGCATGTATCGCTTTTGATTCAGTGGGCGTGACATTGGCTGAATGAACAATAGAGGGCGCTCGTTATCTGTGGCAGTGTGCATGGTGAATCCGTTTGCCTCCGTATTCCTAAATCCATGTGTTCGTAGCTGTGTAGTGTTATTGTTCTTGTGGTATGTCATTTATAATGGAATGATGCGCATTATGGGGTTACTGTTAGGTGCGCTGTCTGTTTGAAGTTTCCTTGGATGTTGATAAAAGCTTGTGGAGCATGTTACATGTAATAAGCGGTCAAAGTGGGCATGTGTTCAAACCACACACGCACGCACACGGACGCACACACACACACACACACACACACAGATAGAGAGAGGTGAGGGATTGGGGATGTGACTTAAGCATGAAAGCACCAAAACCAAAGCATGACTGTCAAGGATAGTGCCAACGTGGTGACGGGAGTAAGCAACTTAAGAGGCATTGCAAGACCGAGGGAACACTTTCCTGCGTCAGACCAGACAACACGGCAACAGGCATCACCAACATGGAAAGAGATGCCAGACAATGCTTTGAACCTAGATTAACTTATTTATTAATATTATTGCATGATGTATTACTAATTTAACAAAGCAGATTGCATTGTGATTAAGTACCAAACATTAATCCAGTCTGGAAACACTACAGTGGAAAAGACTTAAACTGGAGGCTTGCATCAGTCTTACTACATTTGAGATTAATTTTAATGTAAACGTTTGGATAATAGAGAACACCAAATATGCATCTATCGATTTAATTTATCGTGATATTTATCATATTAGTAACTGTGAACTCCACTAAGATACTCTGAACATTACACGAAGGAAGAACCAGAGACAGACAAGGAAGACAAACGAGATAGGACTAACAAGGGATCATTAATATTGGGAAACATGACTTTATATGTATCATTAACGTTCCTAAATAACTTAATATTACGTGTAGAGGCATGGTTATTTAATGATGCTTGACATAAAACTGAATCTACAAAAAAGTAAGAGTATCATTTCTGTTGGTGAAAAAGTAAATCTTTTTCGTATAGACCAAACGTGTTTTAATTATGATCCTTGGCATGCCGAACCTCCATAGACAGACATTGCACGTATAGTCGTCTAAAAACGATCTACTTTTTCATCGTTATTACACAACAAACAGTGAAAAACCTTTGTTGTTATTGTCTGGGCTATACCTATGCCTACCCAACTACCAGACTCGGCACATAAGGATCCTGAATTAACCGGTATATCGGACCACACTACCCGTTTTCAAGGTGTGTGTCAGATCGCATTTCGGAGTATCATACCCCAGAACAAATTTTGTAGGACGACCGCGTGCTTATCCTGTCGTTGTTCTGGGGTATGATACTCCGAAATGCAATCTGACACACACCTTGAAAACGGGTAGTGTGGTCCGATATACTGGTTAATTCAGGATCCTTATGTGCCGAGTCTGGTAGTTGGGTAGCTAGGCCTGATATCGGAGAGAGACAGAATGCCCATGACAGTTTAAAAGTAAAAATTAATTGTTTTTACCAAAACAAATGTTATATTATATAGTGATGTAATGCAATAATTGCAGTTACCAATATAATACATTTTTATGAATTAGCACCAGATTGTCGAACGCAAGAAATAACCAAAACAACCATTCATATTATTGTTATACGTATAGTCTTATCTTGTAAGTTGTAGCATGCTCTTTTTTTTCATAAAATTTTGGTCAAAAAGGCTACACCACCAATTCTATGTGCATTTATTTAACAATGGTCACCTCACAGGTGTAAGTTATTATTATTATTATTATTATTATTATTATTCCAGACACTATATATAACATGATATATACATACTTGTCAACTCTCCTGGATAATTGGATAATTCGGGAATCTCCCGGATGCAGAACGAATCTCCCGGTCCCCAGTACGAGTAACCAAATCTCCCAGATAAAAGCGACTTTGAACAATGGCACAATGCACTGTCAGCTAACGTCCTGTCTCAAATAACAAATTCGGAACAATTTTGGTTTTAATTATTATTTATTTAATTTCATTTCATTTATTTTATTTATNGCCAAGATTTACGTTCGCTTAAACGGAGCTGGCGTAAGTGACACTGACTCGGGCACTACAGACAGGAGGAACATCTGTGAGCAAAGCCCAGGTAGTATCTACAACATTGTGTCCCTATTGGTTTATATTTCAATACAGATTGGACATTGTTGGTGATTTCATTGCCTCTGTCGATGCATGGTTATAGATATGTGTTGTAATGCTTCGGTTTGAAATGTATTATATATAACTGAGAGAGAGAGAAGGAGAGTGCAATTAATTTCTTTAACAAAGAGAATTTGGGGAGTTGAATTTAGTTGAGATTGTTACCACTTTTTTTTATACTGAATAAACTCTATCCTGAAAGTTTCCTCAATATATGCCAATATTTTTTAAGGATACCTTGTCCACCAACAAATAGACATATCGACGCTGATGCAAACAAAAACTTATATTTCAGCTTACCTTGGCTGTTATCGTACGGAAAGTGGCCTGGCCGCAACCCTCAGCAGTCCCGTACACATGAACCTCCAGCAGTGTATTGAGTACTGCCGTGGACTGTCCTGTGCCTTCGCCGGTGTGTCCTCCTCGGAGTGTTACTGCACACAGACCGTCACGGAAGCTAACAAGGAGAACGACTTCACTCTCTGTGATACAAAATGTCCTGGAAACAAACACCAGTTCTGCGGGGGCAATGGATATGTGTCGATGTATCTTGTTAGTAAGTGCCAGTGTGTGTGCGCGCGCGCGTTTGTGTGTATACGTACCTACATTTGTCGCCGATAGATGGACAGACATAAAAAGCTACATACATAGATAGTTGAACTATAATTATTATACACCTGTTTTTATTGCGTGATAAATCAAATAAAAATTGTTCTGGTAAGGTGAAATCCTCTGCAGCCACTGGAAATTTATGGAACCAGAAAAATATTGTGATATTTTGTAATTTTAACTTTAAAGTTGTCAATAACTCACTGCCTTTTGTAAACCACACTGAGATGTAGTGCGGTTTATAAGAACCAGATTTCAATTTTACTTTTTAGCTTGGATATCAGTAGTGGCCAGTTCCTGTGATGTCCTGTACAAAAACGGTATCAGGGAGTACGGTCAGTACTGGGTGGCAGCGGAATGGATAGCCCAAAACATCCGAGTGGAGTGCTTTACATCAAGTAAGTTGTTTGCCCAGTTATTTTGGATTGAGTGTTCCGTTAATATTCTTTTGTTTATTTCTTATTACTTTCATTTATTTATTTATTTATTTATTTATTTATTTTTCCTCTGTGTGTGTGTGTGTGATTTCAAAAGATATGATCGTTTTGAAAGGTATCTTAGTCCCGGTCTTTAAAAATGCACTTTTAATTTTGATTTTTTTAATTCAAAATGTAATATCAATAAAAAATGGATAAAAACGCGTCAGACCTTTGAAGTACCCCTGCGAAATTCGGTGCCTAGAAAAATTTCTTTATATTAAGTTTTTTTTTCTTGATTCTGGCTCCCATAGGGCCTTAAAGCAAATTTAACGTGGTTGCCACTTTGGTAGCCTTTGGGAACTCAAAATATCAAAATGGCCGCCAATTCTCAATTTTCTTTATAAATGTTCTTAAAATACTGAATGATATTCAATTAATTATATTTATTTATTTTTTTATTTATTTATTTTTTTTTTTTTTTTGGTAATGTTTGGTTGATTTATCAGTACATGATTTTCATATATTGTTTCAGGTCCGTGTAACGAGTGGCTGATATATCAGATCAGCGATTCTTCAATATCGGCATCATCCAGCAGAAGCAACCTCTCGCATACTGATATAAGGTGCGGTTCACATTTAATTCAGCAGATGAATCTTCACATTTATATTGAGTTGCCCTGCCGCCATGGCGGATATTTGTACTCTCTGAGTTTTTTTTTTTTTTAGTTAAAACAACTGTTGTTGTTAAGCAGCGAAAAATGGCAAATAATATCCAAGCATTATAGCAGTTTGCTGAAAATTTAACAATAATAATAATAATAATAATAATAATAATAATAATAATAATGAATTTTATTTGCACCACTCCAGACTATATAGTGAGAGTGGATGGGGTCCTGACGTCAGTTCTGACACAAACGGCTCTTGGGTTCAGCTTTCCTTGCCAAACCGGTATATAGTCACTGGCTTCAAGACACAAGGTATGTTTTATGACTGGTGGGGTCGGCCGTATTTTATTTTTATCGTATGTGAAAACTGTGTAATTAACGGGCTAGTCATTAAACGCTTAACTCCATTGTTAGATGTGCAATAACTTAGCAATACGACTATTATATGGGATTTCCTCATTGACCATTTACCAAGCACTGAGCAGGTGCAAGAGAAAAAAAATTGAAAACGTCATGCGATTGACCAATATGATAAGTACGAGGGGGAATTCGGTAGTTTCAATTTGTTTTATTTCAAGGGGAAATTATTTATGAAATCACACGACCTATAGACTCCACGCTTAAGATATATATACATAGGTATATTTATATATACCTTTCACAGGTCGTAATGATATTGATCAATTAGAGAGAGTGCAGAACTTTACAGTACAGTACAGAGATACAGGTATTGGCGCTGACTGGAGAACGTACATCAATGAGTCCCACGAAAATGTGGTAAGATTTATATCAACTTTTCACAAAATTTTATCTTTGCCAATAACTGGAAAATCGAACATGGGTATTATTGTTTTTGTGTTGTTTGAAAGTAACTTTAATTGCACGTTATTCGTTTCTTTTTTTTTTTTTCAATTTTGTGCAATTTGTATAGTAAAGTTGGCTTGTTTATCTCTATATTCTATACACCATAAAATAACCAAACTTTTGACGCCTTTTTACACATTAAAAAAGTATCTTCATTATGCGTGACGCGGCCGTGCGTTACAATTAATGCCGTAATTAATTTATAACATGTAGTAATTGCGTATAAAAGTAAACTTAATGGGTTTTATGTAAATATATTGGATGGCAGGCGTGTCTTGAAAAGTGTACAGGGCGAGGCATACTGCCGGTGGCTTATTTTTTTATATGCCACTTAACCAGAGATAAAATCCATGAAGCAAAGTGGCGCGGGACGTTCAATAATTCAAATAAGTGACAGATGGATGTTTGTTGCGATTCTTATTCTATTTGCTTATCCATTTTTAAATGTGTTAAAACAAACACTTATTTTAGTTTCAAATAACCAGCATCTTATCTTTAAGTTTGACGCCAGAGGGCCAACGAGTAGCGATTTCAATACCCCTGTGTACAACGAAGTTGAGGACCCGTTTGTGGCCACAGATATCCGAGTTCTGCTGGAAACCGGCAGCTGTCTAGGGACCGGATGTGTCATGAGATTGGACGTCAGCGGGTGCCAGTTTGATACATTCTCAGGTAAAATAATTCTTGATCATGGATTGTGTCAGCCAGTTGCGGCACCGCCAGAGGCAAATATTTCACTGTGCGCTTTGACTAGTCGTTGGCGTGTGGTTAAGGTTAATCGCGCTAGCCACAACTGTTATACGGTTTTAACATTAAATATTCCATTAATGTACATTATTTGATTTTCTTTATCCCACCAAGAAACTGCTGTGGACATAGGATGCTTCCTGGATGACCAAAACCACCCAGAATTCCCGAATATCCTGTCTTCCGGTATCACGTCGACGTCAGAATGTCGTGAGCTTTGTGCACAGGGTGGTTACATGTACGCTGCTGTCACCAACGGTAAGACATCCAACGGTTGTTTAAAGGGAATACGCGGTTATCATTAAAGGGATAACAACTCTTGGTATGAAATCTATATTTCACAAAAAAAAAAAAAAAAATCATAGAAATATAATATAATATATTCTATTTTACCACAAAAACGGCAGTTATAGCAATTATCTTGAAATCTGTGCTTGTCATCGTACCATGTGATCTCCATAGAGAGTTTATAACCAAAAAAAAACTTTTTAGAAAAAAAGCCAGGGACTAACTTTGAACGTAGAAATGGATTCATTAACCATTTGTAAGTATGAGAAAATTGGCATTTACCCCAGGAAAAAAATTTGGCCAAAATGAACGGTTGTTATCCTTTTAATATTATTGCCAACATATGAGGAACACAAGTAGAAGTTAGAAATATATAGAATCAAACGTTTAAATGCCTGCACAC